TCTTCAGTCTCAGTGATCTTCCACATTGTCCTTGACGATTTTCCTATAACACAAGGAATATTAGGATCAACTTTTTTCATTGAATAAAATGCATGCAAAAATTATTCTAAAAACAGTATTACCTGACCGATCCTTTCCCCTTCAAAGAGAGAGAGAATCGATCAAAATTCCAGCTCGAATGAATTCCGGATTTGTGATTAGAATTGTCAATCTGGAAATAAGACGAGGTATCTCCCCCGCCTTCGAAACCACGAAGGGGTTTTGCGGAGACTTCATAGTTACCTGCATAAATAATAAAGCTTACATTAGAATCATTAATATTCTAGATTACGAAATAGAAGTTTTGATATCTTCCTTTCGATTGATAGAGATCGCTGAAATCTCTTACAAGGCTCCAGTGCGTAATCGTACACCTGACTCATCGCTTCTTAAAAAATCGAGTTCTCAATCTCCAAATAAAATAGACGCTCCTCCACTCAACCAAACGAATTCACTTGTAATAAACGAGTTTACCTGTAATAAACGAATTCATCTATAATAAAAAATGAAATTAGAAATTCGCCTATCGCACATATTAACGAACAAACATTTCCACACACTACAACATTAACAAATTACCTCACAACACATCGAAGCATGTTGATCACCAGGGTCAAAATTCTATCAATCGAACAATTCTATAATTCCCTAACTCTCCCTATTCTACTATTACTAATTCTACAAATATTAATACTATTTACTCTATCGAGTCTTCGATAATGAATATTCCTGATGGATCTCTCTGTTCACTGGACGTCGCTAACTCACCCCGCCAGTAGAACCATTCCCTCCTGATAACTTCAAAGAACACGCTTCTCTTACGCGAAACTTGATCATTAAAACCTACACATACTCTGTTTTTGAAAAGGGAAATTTGAATTCACTTAATATAAATATAATAAACAAATGCGTTACCTTAACAAATTCTTCAGCGATTGGCGTTTCACTAGCGGCGATAACAATGAAATTAATAGAAGCTATACCAGGTGTACAAGTATGAAATGACGATTTGAGAAACAGATAGTGCATCAATGCAGTGTGAAGTACAAAGATTTAACATTATACGCCATTTTATTATACCATCAACAAGTGTCAAACGCGCAAAGTGATTTGATTGAAAAGTGTTTGCATAGTATTGTGTTGCTATGTTCAATATGACGAAATTTGTATCAAATAAGGAGCATTCGCGGACAGTATTAATTTTTTGTTTTCATTTGAAGAAAACTGCTGCGGAATCATACCGATTACTTGGAGAAGCTTATGGTGAACATGTACCATCGCAAAAAAACATGTGAACGATGGTTTCAGCGTTTCAAAATTGGAGATTTCGGTGTTGCAGACAAGGAACATGGAAAACCGCCCAAAAAGTACGAAGATGTGGAATTGCAAGCATTGCTGGATGGAGATGATTCACAAACACAAAAACAACTCGTAGAGCGATTGAGCGTTAGTCAACAAGTTGTTTCCAATCGCCTACGAGAGATGGGAAAGATTCAGAAAGTCGGCAGATGAGTGCCACATGAATTGAACGAGAGACAGATGGAGAGGCGCAAAAACACATGTGAAATTTTGCTCGAATGATATAGAAGAAAGTCATTCTTGCATCGTATCGTTAGTGGGGATGAAAAGTGGATTTTTTTTGAGAATCCCAAGTGCAAAAAATCATGGGCGCACCCAAGTGCAAAAAATCAGGCGCACCACATCGATTGCAAGACCGAATCATTTTGGAAGACGATGCTCTGTGTTTGGCGAGACCAAAAGGATGTGATCTATTATGAGCTATTGAAGCCTGGCGAAACAGTTAATATCAAACGCTATCAATAACAATTGAACGATTTGAATCGTTCGCTGCTTAAAAAACGCCCAGAATACCAAAAGAGGCAACACAAGATCATTTTTCTCATGATAATGCTCCATACACATACGGCAAAATCAGTTCGGGAGCACGTTGGAAGCACTCAGCTGGGAAGTTCTATCCTATGCGGCTTACTCACCAGACTTGGCTCCTTCCGATTACCACTTGTTTGCATCGATGGGTCACGCACTTGCTGAGCAGCGCTTTGGTTCGTACGAAGATGTGAAAAAATGGCTCGATAAATGATTCGCAAAAGGGGAAGATTTTTACTGGCGTGGTATCCACAAATTGCCTGAAAGATGGGAAAAATGTGTAACTAGCAATGGAGCATACTTTGAATAAATCTCTTTTTATCATTCTTCCGAATTTAACGTGTTTTTTTTTTGGGAAAAAAATCGTCATTTCATACTACACCTGGTAATTATGAAAGTACAGCGAATATACACAGCATTTCGATACTAAATAACAATGTCAATAAATCCGACAAATTAGCTCATATTTTACCATTGTTATGACTTGAATATTTAACTAGTCCTGAACACATTATTAGATTAAGGAACACAGCGACAGATTTTATATCTTTAGCGAGCATCTCGATAAAACTCACGCATTAACTCATAAAATTATCATCACCGACGATCTACCCGTTCATCATAAACAATACAGATTTCTTCACGTACATCGCGACGAAATAACGCGACAGGTAAGGGATTTAGTATCGAAAAAAATTGTAACGACTTTCTGTTTCGCTTTTTAATTCGCCGATATGAATAGTACTAAAAATGCCGGATTCGTTAGGAAATATATAATAAGCGTTGACGAATGGTGATAGATTACCGCAAATTAAACAAAAAAATTACAGGGATGCCTACTCTCTGCCAAATATTAGTGAAATTCTTGACCAATTAGGCAGTGCAAAATATTTTTCGGTGCTAGACCTTGCAAACAGATTCCATGAAATTCTCATGGACTCTGTTTGAACAATTCGCACAAAATAGCTTTTTCCACTCCTTTTCGACTCCTTTTCCACTCCTTTTCAATTCGAATGCAAATTTCGTTCGGATTAAAAAACACGCCAGCCATATTCCAAAGATTAATGGATCAAGTACTAACCGGATTGCAAGGAGTAGAATTATTCTATGTGGCTGATCGTGCTATACGCTAGTTTACTGCACGAGATTAAAATTAACAAACTAAGGACTTAGAGCGCTAATCTAACGCTCCATTTCGACAAGTGATTTTAGACACGAAGTAACATATCTCGGTCACGTGATAGGAGAAAACTGCGTCAAACCAGATTCACAAAAGATAGTGGCCATTAAGGACTTTCAAGGCCGCGGAACTTGAAAAATATACGCCAAGTTTTTTTCCTTAGTTTCGGCTACCGCCGATTTATTTCAAAATTTTCAAAGCTCGCCAGCCCTTTATCGAATCTGTTAAAGAAGGAAGTAATCTTTAAGTGAACACAGGAAATGCAAGTCGCTTTCGATATATTAAAAATTTTACTTTGCGAGAAATCGATCTTATAGTATCCTGATTTCGAGAGAGAATTTATACTTACTACCGATGCGTCGGTGATTATGCAATCGAAGGCGTCATCAGCTAAACCTTCGTGCTTGTAGCCGACCATTAACCACTGACGTAGCTACATAGAGTTAAAGATCCGATATCACGGTTTATGAGCGTGGCGTCTAAAACTAAAAGAATATAACTACAGAATTGTATATAAATGAGAAACTTGTAATAACAATAACGCACATGCTCTCTCTTCAGAAATCCTGTTCCTAGCTCAGATTCTCCGCACCTACTGGTGTTAACCATTGAGAAAAATCGTTATCTTGGTTCCGATTCCTCTTTCCATAGTAAGGAAAATTCTGATTCTGATGATGAGCCACTTCGGAGACCATTTTCTTGCCAACTCGATATGAGACGATTTCTAACAAGGTCAATGACTCAAAAATTTCAACGGACTGAGGAATCTTCCCTCTCCTTTCCTTAATCGCTTCTCCTCACAGAGGACATCTGACATAGAACCGATCAAAGATGATCAATTAGAATCAAAATTGCTGAGAAACTCTAAGGACAACGCTTTTCATAAACTCACAAAGAATTATAAAAACATGTGACCTATAGTTCTACTGAGACTGGAAGAAAACCCAACAACATCCACGTCAAGATACAATTTACGACCTTGTAGTCAACAAATACTCACTGACATCTTCGAAAAAGATCCTGCTGAATCAGACTATTGCGAGGATGCTGAAGAAAGGAATTCAATAATCACGGCCAACCTAATTGCGCCTGATGGAAACTTCCTAATCAACTTTGCGCTTCAAAGGAATACAATCTCGCGCCGGATCTCCTCAATATAGACGAACCAATCACAGAACAAGAACTTACGAACAGAAAGTGAAAAACATATCGGATTAGAAAATACTTATGAGCCTACATGCGACATTAAAGAATGGATACGCCATTCTCCACTTGTAACGACAATTTAATTATATTCGTTACCGTTAATAAATTATCTAGCGATAAAGGAGCACAAGAATTACTTAAAAATAAAAATCTTCCTCCACTAGACAATTTAACCTTAAGTTCGAACTCAAGTAATACTCTCTTCGTCCACGGACCGACATATAATTGTTCTGACTGTAAAAGACCTTATGTTAAAATAGATGAAAAAATTTTAACCGTATAGCAACGTTCACATTTCTTTAATTCAAACAAATGTTTTTTTTAATCAAATCGAAAATTATCAACTTTTAAGATCTATCAAGACTTTCAATTTGTCAAGATATTTAAGAGTATATAATTTTAAATAATATTCGAAGTTTCGAAATAGAGTAATGATTAAATTGATTGAAAAATCGCAAAAGATATGATTGAATACTCATCATTAGTTCTAAGTAATAATTCGTAATTTTGAGTCCAGAATCGATTTAACAATATTTTAACAAATGTAATGTCAAGTTTTAAACTTAAATATTGATTATTACCAAGTTATATTGAGTAATGGGATGTATCTATCATCTTTTTCGCTGTGATTTAATCTTGTGAGCTGTTTCTTGATATAATTTTAATCTTGTCTTTAATTCTTACAGATATGAAAACATTACGGCAAACAGCACGTGAGACTGATGAGAAGTATCGAAAAGCACGTAAAAGTCATAACACAATAGAAATGAGTATAAAAAATACGACGAGTGATTTATTGTCTGAAACAAAACGTTTAAAGGAAAAATTATTACAGGTAATATTACAATTAAAATTTTTTTGTATTAAAGCAATCAACTTTTAAAGAAGCTTTAAAGAGAGACATTAAAGAAAGATTCAATATTAATTATCGTAATTAAATTTTAATAGATATCTTTTCATAATTATTATTAAAACACATAAATGATATTATATTATTATATTCGTAAATAACTGTTAACACTTAATTTATAACATCACATAAGATCACAACAAAAGTTATATCAAACTATAAAATCATAATCATTTTTTAAAAGTACTCTTCTATCGATACTATATTTTATAAATAATATTTGAGTTTTTAAATAAAAAAATCACATTGAAAATTATATTTTGCACTTATTATTTTCACATTTAAAAGAAGTAAAATTCATATCGTGCTCCTAATTTGAGACAAAATTTGGGACACGTTATAAAGTGACGAAGAATTAAAATTTGGACTGTCCCTTTCAATTTGGGCTGTTGGTCACTTTACACATAAAGAACATACATATATTATTTGTTGACTCTTGCTATTACAACTTTATATATTTCACATTTGAAGCCATCCTCAGTAAGATACAAAACTTAGAAATAATCCTTGCATACAAATCAAGTTCCTGCTCAACGACATAAATTTAAATTTATATTAATTTATTTTAATAAATCCTTTATCATAGTATACTAGTGATGATTCCGAGAAAGTTGCAAACGTATACTTATTAAGTACTAATAAGATAAATCCAAAAAATTTATATATCATACTTGCTGGAAACGAAATGTCTATTCAACTCGCTCTTACAATTGATGTTAAGACCGATAAAATCATTGGATTTGAAGATTGGGAAATGAAGCGGACAAGATCATTTGCTGATCAATTGTTTTTTATATCAGCAATTGTTTTTTATATAAGATGTTTATCATCTGATTGGGAAATGTCTATTGGTTATAGCTTTTCTAATATAATGCAATCTTATCTAACTTTTAAGATACGTAAAGAAATAATTAACATTTCTGCAAAGATGTGGTTTAAAACTGAAAGCTATTGTTTATGACTAGGGAGGGTTTAATATTGCGGTAATTATCTTATTAATAGAAATACACGCGCAACATTTTAAATATTGTATAATAGTAAGTAGAAAAAAACATATGTTAAGGATATTAAGTTAAATATTCTACTAAAAAAATATTGTAATAGTACTAAGAAATAACATTCTGAATGATATTAAATGACAATTGTGACATTCTATTTTTTCAATTATGAAATGCCAATTTTAAAACTTGAAAAGAATAAAGATGTCAACATCAATGTTTTTTCAAAAAAATTCTGTGTATTCTCGAAAAGTATCACGACAAACGTTACGTTTGAAAAATATTTTAATTTTTTTTAGTGTTGAAGGAACTTTATTGCTAAACGTATTAGGACAACCAATATATTCTAATGTAATTATTGTAATTATTCGTATATTTGTAAACCAACAATTGTAGAAAAAATGATTCAACAGAGTATGTATCGAACTTAATCGATTGAAAATCAATATTTTTACATGTAAATGAACTCTGTTTTTTTATAAAAAAGATTCGAAAAGAAATGTTTTTGTAATGATATTGTGTTTATTTATATAAATACGCTTGATTGATCTATCAATATTATGTTTAAAATTTTTTTTTATAACTGTCATCCGAATGTATAAAAATTCTGATAATGTTTTGATAGATAGTAATTAGGATAATTCGATAGATAGGAAAGTTTTGAGTAAAGAATTGAAGAAGAAGGGAATAAGTGAAAGTTTGATAAGAAGGATAAAAGAAGTATAAAAGGAAATTCTAGTAAGGTGAAAATAGGAAGGGAGAAGGGAAAGAAACTTTGGAAAGAGGGATAAGACAAGTTGTTCATTGAGTATATACTTCTTCAATATTTCAATAGCAGATATAGAAGAGGAAATGGAGAAACAAAAAGAAAAAATTTTTTAATATAGTTTTTTTAAATATAGTTAAATTAAAAAAAATTTTTTAAACTGAATTAAAAATGTATATAAAATAAATTAATATAGAGAAAATAGGAAAATTATAAATTCTTTAAATAAAAAAATTTTAGCGTGGCGTCTTCCGACTGCTTTTTCAAAATGTGCAATTAATAATATTAGATACTGAATATTAATTATTTCATACTTTTTGAAGTTTTTCTATTAATTTATTTATTAGTATTAATTTTTTTATTCTTTTTTTAATTCATTTATTTTTAGTTTTTTATTTAAAT